CCCCGCCGCGCCCCCCTTCTCCCTCCCACCGTCGCCTTCCACAGACGCGGCCTTCGCCTCCGAAGTGGCGCTGCACCAACCAATGAGGCCGACCCGTGACAACGGTGTGTGAAGCGGCTACAACTCCAGTACTTGTGTCGTGTGCAGTGAGTGCATCCGCAAGCCATCGTACTCTGAAACACCATTCGTGACATTGTCCTTCTCGTTCACGTGCTGTTTCGACGTTTCAAGAATTTTTTCTCCCGATATAGTGGTCCGTCATTCGAAGCTTTCCAAGTCCATCTTCTGACCTTGGTCCAGCTGTATGTGCTTGTGATCGGAATCTAAATCCTGTCTCGAATATTGTGATATTCATCACTGCGTAATGTGTAATGATTACTTGCTTTTCGGAATTGCAATTCATAAAAGAAAGTTAGAAGATCTATTAAAAGATAAAAGATACAGCATGCAGAAATAAAGTATGCCGACTCTATTTTTATAATAAATTTGATAATGAAGTTAATTACTTTTAAAAGTAATCTATGTGTAAATAGGGCTGGTTGTCAGGAGTGCAAAAACTTTCACTTTCTTTTTCCACACAAATTTTGCAAAAATGATGCTCGATATTTGTCAGTTTGATGTAGTTGTCATTTGTTGGATAAGGATTAATATTGTGAATTGTCAAAGAATTGTGTTCAATGATCCTTGAAAGTGCTTTATAAGGAATCGATGAGAGAATCGCGATGAAGTTTTTCCATATTTTAAAATTCTTCACATTTATCAAATTTCTTACATATTACAAAACGAACTTTTACTAACGTGATTTCGTGCTTTGGAGAGATAGTAAATCATGTCAATTAAGAAATGAAATATGTTAAAAAATGAACATTGGTATTCACTCTTCCGAAAACGAGCAGGATTAATACGAAGATAACAAAAGTTTTGGTAATACATAATGTGACGATCATTACAAATTTATTGTAATGCAGTAAATGGAAAAATGAATATGGATAAATCAGTTCGGAGAAGTTGATATTTATGAAGCAGGGGTAGGGTTGCAAAAGCTAACGAAACAAAGCAAATGGCCGGTGCAGCGTATGGATTAAATCTTATTCCCAGACAAGATTGATACAAATCAATTTATTTTATAATAAAACGTGAACCATTCTCATCTCGAGTATAGGAGAAGGCGTCTTCATTGACAAAACCACAGTTCCAGGTTATATTTTAATGAATTCCTGAAGTTGCTCTAACCTTAAATCAAATCCGAATATAACTATGGCCCTGAAGTCGCGTTAACAATGTCGTGTTACACTTCTACACTCCAAATTAATGCGAATTATAACCACAGACTTGGTGAACGGTACGTTGCCAGGGGTGTCCATCGAACATTAATGGGGAGTGGATATTTATAACATTAAAGAATCTTCTCTCCCTCACACTTCCAAACTCCATTCCGTCCTCGCCTCACTTCCTTGCTCTTACCTCGATCCCGGGTATTTATTTTCAATCTCTTTCGCACATTATCACACTCACACATACACTCAATGGGTAGTCATAACATTTTAAAGTATTTGTGAAAAACAGTAAAAATGTTTGCGATGTATGCTGGGGAAATATTCACTGAGCAGATTCTCCAGAAAACCTCTCCTAACTTTTTATTATATTACATATGAATTATGAATAAAGGTACCAAGAAAGGAGCGTGTCATAAATGTGTATATATATATATATATATATTAATTTCCGCTACAAAGAAATAGAAAACTTCCTTGCACGATATTCTGGTTTCAATTTATTATGTTCCAATGAATATAACTCATCCCGGGCGCCAAGTCTGCAAATATCAATTAAATTGTGTGAAAGTGTACTAAGTAAAGTTACGAATACATTTGCAGTCCAAAACCATAACAAGGGCTTTTAGCTTTCTTAGCTTTTGCTCAATGAACCAAGGGAAACAGTTCGAAAAAACTGATAAAAATGTTTTTAAAGCATGTTCAAAATCATTTTAATTTGTGTATCTACTTTGTATACTGCAAGCTGGTAAAGTGTTCTAAAAACGTGATAATGTAGATAATCTTCCAGCGAGCTGACACCAGATACTGACACCAGATGAATGATTCCTATGTCGCGTGCATTAATTATAGAAAAAAGAAATCGATTTTACCTTCTAGTTTGATTTTATCTTCAATTTATATAGAGTTGGAAAAAGTATTTGAAATACGTCTTACATCTTACCACGATCAAAACTATCTTACTTCGCATCTACAGACCTCCAACACAGCGAGTTTTAGATAATTTCATTGTCTTAGAAAATCTA